TTCGAAAATCGGCCAAGATGTTGGCCTAATTACCTTTCTGATACGTGTTTTTGTTAATGACCGCTTTTTGTATTTCTCGACCTCTCTCTTTTGCTTTTTCTTTTCTTTCCTCTTCTTCCCTTAGGATCGTCTAAGTACAATCTTAGTGAATTATTTTCAACTCAATTATTTTCCGTTTTTAAAAAAAATCAACAACCTGTTTAGTAAACCGAGTAAGAAAAAATTAAATCATATTTCTATGAATATTTCTAATAATGCAAGGTGCCACAATAATATCCGCTTTTCATTTTTTTTTAAAAAGCTAGTTATTGAGTGTAGGCTTTTAAAAGTAACCAAGTATTAATTATAAGTTTGTCTGATATTATAAAGGTTCATAAAACTTCGAATTATAATAGGTTTCTCCCTATAACACATTTCATACCCTTCTTTGGATTTTGTTAAGAATGTCAAGACATATATTCAGATAGGGTAGTAATATTTAATTCACGGGCGAATGTTGGATTTATAAATGTACAAGATGACACGAAGCATTGAACTAAACTTTCTAGTAGCAGTCTTATCAATTGATGCTTGTCATTTCTTGTCGTTTTTCATTTCTCTATCATCCTTATAGTCCTTCTTATCTTAATCTCTTCTTTTCCTTCGGAGAAGAGATTATCTCTGGGATATCTCTTCTCTTTTATCCCTTCTTGTTTTTCTTTTTACTCGCTATATCTCGTTTTCCTTTCTTTACTTTTTTCGGCTATATCTTTTATCCCCCTTTTCTTTTCGCGGACAAGAGATGCTTTATAAGTATTATCAAAAATTGTTATAACTATCATTTCAACACCACCTGATGAGATACTATGTTGCATCGAAACATTAATGCATTTTTACAGCTGAAATATGCATGTTCGAATGCACTATATACAGTGCTGTTCGATAAAAGTGACTCACCTGATTTTATTTACTTAAAAAAAGATTCGCCTAATGTTTTTAGGGTCAAACTAATTTTGAATCTTAATAATATAAAGACCCCTTCCCGACCACCTAGCAAAAAAATTTACACACCCTAAGGTATTCTATTGATAATTATAATTTTGGATATAAATAAAATTTAGGGAAAACCTCTATGCAAAAATAGTGACTCACTTATTTCCTGCAACTGGTAACCAATAGAAACATAACCGAACAGCTTCAAATAAAGAATAATAGAGGTAGAATTTATTTATAATAGGTAATATAGTTCGAAATATTTAATAATCTATGGTCCGCCTTTATTTTGAATAACCTTGTCAACCCTTTTTGGCATTGACTTGATTAGGTTCTAGCAAGTCTCATCTCCAAGCATTGAATTCCATTCGGATATGAAATTCACATATGAATTCCTCTTTGTTGCTCAACTGCTTTCTCGAGAACCTGTACTTTATAATGCTCCATAAGTTTTCTGTGGGGTTGAGGTCAGGAGATTGGGGCGGCCATGTCATAACACTCACCTGCTTCTCATCAAAGTATTCCTTCATCAATTTTGATTTGTGACAGGGAGCATTATCTTGAATAAAAATGAGCTTGGTGGGGTCGATTTGCACCCTTTCAGCAGAAGGGAGCAGACAAGACTCTAAAATTCTCTTGTACTGCTCGCTCCTCAGGGTCTTTTCAATAGGTTTTAAGAAACCAGTTCCATGAAAAGAAAAGCATCCCAGAACATTATACTGAACGGATGCTTGACAGTACTTACTGCTAAATTCAAAGAGCTTTCAAAGCTTCTTCTTCGGATTTTAGATCGCTTATCCTTTGAATTTAGCTCAACTTTCGTTTCCTCGGAGAAGAGAACATTTAGTAAAAAAAAAAATCAGGTGAGTCACTTTTTTCGAAGAGCACTGTGTGTATGTATGTATATATATATATATATATATATTCTGTAGATACAAATATTTAAGTAAATGCTCTGTTTATAATAAACAGTATAAACTACATTTACTGGTCTGAATGTCCGAGAAATTTCATAGAAAATATGTGTCCTCTGACAGAAATCGTTTTTCGTTTCTATATCATCCTTATATTCATGCTTATATGATTTTCGGGGAGATAGGGATTAATCAACGCAAACGGCACACTGTTAATGGCAAGCACAGAAAGAACACTACAGCATGTCTGTTATGGGAACTTATCCATAATAATAATGGACTATTCCTGACATTATAAATACTGCGCCTCTCAAGAGGTATGAGGGTGTTGCAAGACGAGGAGAGATAATTGAGAGCATATTATAAGGACATTGGAATAGTGATACGTGTCGAGACAACATAGTTCACTCTAACCAAATCTGATAGTCATTACTAATACTTCTACTTCTTTGTATTATATTTCTGTTGTAATATATCTTTGTATTCCATACCTGTGTTCGTGTTATTCTTTCATTGGTTCTAACATTGGACCATCACCGTGTTACAAGGAACTTGGACCATAACAATGTCATAAACAAGGCAGTAAAGGAAAGCTACAAAAAAAAAAAACAAAAAAAAACAAAAACAAAAAAAAAAACAAACTATAAGATCAGAAACTTCCAAAAAGATATGTACCATTCATTGCCTTATTTTTGTGTACTGTTCGTAAGTTTAGGTCCAGAAATGAAAATTTTGATCTGGAAAATCGAGAATGTTCCGGCAGGCCTGAAATTGTTGAAGTCTAAATCAAAACGACGATTAAAAATTAATACGAGCCATCGCAGATATACTACATATATTTCACATGAGAGTTTTAAGGTATTTGAAAAAAATTGGTTGCGTAACTAATTACCATAATTGTTTACCCAATCATTAAGCCGAAAAAAAATAAAGAGACTCATTTCCATTTTCGATTCTTTGCGCAAACGAAAAGAAATGACCCCTGTTTTAAAAGAACTGTCACAAGCGATGACAAATTGTTTGCAACGTTCTGGAAAATGAAATAAGCCAGTGTTAACAACTCCAATTACTCAAATATATACCCCATAATATCTAAATTTAATTTCAACATTTTCTTCTCATTTCAATCGTAAAATAAAGAAAAGAAATGAAATGAAAGAAATGAAATGAAAATGTTGAAATGAAAGAGATGAAAAGTTAGTTAAAAAATAAATGTAAAGGAAATGTTGAAATGAAATATAACGGACGAAGACATGATGAAGAAACGCTAAAATGAAAAATAAAAGTTTAAGGGAAACATACTGAAGAGAAAATGCTAAAATGAAAGAGTAAAAACAATAAATGAAAGAAAAATGAAATGATAAATGTTCAAAAATAAAAAGAAACGTTAAAATGAAAAATACTGAAAAAAGACATAAATACATAAAAAGAAATGCTTAAATAAGAAACTAAAGAAAAATAAATGAAAGAAAATGAAAAAGAAACTTTGAAATGATAAAGAAGGGTTTAAATTAAAAAGAAACGTTAAAATGAATTGTTTGCTTTTCTTTCTTTTTTTCTTTGCTTATTGCTTTTTTTCTGCTTCCTGCTCTCTTTTACCCACCAAAGAGACCACACATGCCTTCCATTAAAATATCTGATGGTCAGCTCTATGAGGGCACCTCTCTGTGACTGCTTGGTCTAATAATGTTCGCTGACCTGAGATGGAACAATTACATTGAATCAATAGCTTCATCTACCGCAAGCAAAGCTGGTTCTCTGTGTCGCACCCGAAAGTTTTTTACTCTCCCGAGTCTATCTTTCAAATCTATAAATCAACCATTCGCCCTTGTATGGAATACTGCTGCCATATATGGTCTGCAGCCCCCGCTGTTCGTCTTAAGGTCCTAGAAAAAATCCAGAGACATATATACAAAGTGATTGGCTCTGATCTGGCATCTCGTTTACAGCCGCTCTGTCACAAACATGCCGTCGATTCCCTCTGTCTTTTCTTCAAATACTTTCAAGGTAACTGCTCCGACGAGCTACTTTCGCTGGTTCCCAAACTGCATGAATTTAAACATGGTACTAGTTTGGCTTCTCCTTTTACTGTCGAAACTATTAAATATAGCTGTTTCTTCTGCTCCAATAGCTTCATGTCTCACTCTTCCCGTCTGTGGAACTACCTTCCTCTTATTTGCTTCCTTGATAGCTATAACCTCCAAATATTCAAATGCAATGACAATCGACATCTCCAGTTACCTTGACCTATTCGTCGTCTTTCTCTTCATCCTTTCCTCTATCATGCCTCTTTACTCTTGCTCACACTTTCTGTAACCCCTTGCGTGCTAGTGACACTCCCGCCTTGCTTGGGGCTAGATGCTTAAAAAAAGGCAGAAATGCTTAAATTTGAAACTAAAGAAAAATAGATGAAAGAAAAATGAAAATGAAAGTTTGAAATAATAAAGAAGCGTTTAAATTAAAAAGAAACGCTAAAATGAAAAATACTGAAAAGGACATAACTACATGAAAAAAATGCTTAAATGAGAAATTAAAGAAAAATAAATGAGAGCGAAATATCAAAGTAATGTTGAAATGAAAAGTGATTATAATTCCGCATTTTATGCATGCATTTTTGTGATCACTCCTTTAATTATTTCAAATTCATTTAAATAAAGTTTAAATATTGTATTTCATAATGATAATACATTTTGAATTATATTACAATTGGAAAAGTTCTATATTCCCCGCCAATACCCCGATGTTAAGAAACATGAGAAAAATCTATATGGGCGTTGTATGTTGGTGAAGAACGCAATAATCGAATAGTTGTAAATTTATACATTTATATTGAATATGAATATATCAATAAATACTATAAAACGTGTTTCTCTTCACAATGTAAGAACTGGGATAATACATCTGTGAATGCTTCAAAATGTAAAATATTATGTTCTTTTTTTTCGGTTATCAGCAATCCATAACCTTATCACACATCATGAAAACAAAATCCAATTTTCCCACGCGTATGTTAAGTTAGTATTATATAAAGAGGGGAACTTTGTTGTCAGCAGTCAGAAAAAAGAAGTTGTCTGTACATCCGTCTGAAACGAGAACTGTTCTCTATCTTTTTAGTCCTACAATTTCACAGAACAATAACGATGAAGACTGTGGTCGTCTGCGTACTTCTAGCCTTTGTGGTTGCCTGCGCTACTGCCATGTGCATAAAGGGCAACATGAAAAGAGTTCCTTATAAATGTAAGTAACAATTAAAAGCTTTACCCTTTCTTATGTTGAATACTTAAATTTTAACCACGTTCTAAAACGATTCTGTTAATCCAATTCGTTGACTATTCTTCGATCGCAGAACATTTGGGGTATCAATGCATCCATTCATCAATCTAAATAAAGAACGAACTTCATTCGCTGTCTTTCCTCTCTCCACGATGGTCGAAGTTAAGCAATGTCGAGCCCGGTCTCTACTGGGATGGGTGACCACTTGAGAATACCAGGTACTATATGCATGGATGTGCGAGTGGTGTAATGGTTAACTGCTCGGAATTGCTAATCAGAGAGGCGAGTCGGGTTCGTCTCATTCACTGACGCGCAAATATTGAAAAATGTATAGATCCCCCTCTTCTTCATTCAGTTATGAGTTTAAAAAAAGTAAGACGTATCAGAAAATCATTATTATCTCTAAAATATTATCGCAATCTAAAAATATTTTCTAGTTTTTTTTTGGCCTGGTTGATAATCCATAAAAACAGATTAATCGCTTAATTAAATGCTATATTCCGCTCTAAGTGTACCAAAAAGTGAAACTTAAGATAAACCTTTTCAAAACAGAAATATATGGCAGCAGTACACCATTTTAGGTCTGTGCTGGCTTTTGTAAAAGTAGATGATAGCAGGGGTTACTTACTGGAGTGGTACAAGGAATCGACTATTTTTTCAACATCTTCAACTATGGATCGGATGTACGAGTTCCATTTGAGGCCTGATTGAGTTTTAGGTCCAATAGGCACTCCAGTCATAGGGTCTTCCTGAGGGAACTTCCATTCATCGTGATTGCTGATAGTTCATGGTCCAATAGGTGATGATGGAATGTAACTAGTTTCATTTTCGAGGTATTGAATTTAACCAGTAAGTTTTTCCCAGACTCGGATATTAGAGCTAGGTCAGATGAGAAATTAACTGCCAGTCTCTGGTCATCTTGAGTTTGGGAGGTGCACCCACATACCGTTTTATCATCACCATAGATCGAAGTAAACTCTTAGGTAGATCACTTATGTAAACTAAAAAGATGGTTGGTCCAAGAAACGACCTCTGGGAAACTCCTGTATTGATTTCTATGACTCCAGAGGACTGGCTATTAACAATTACCTTCATTAGGAAGAACTTCATAATTGAAAACACTCTTCCAGTCGATCTCCAAACTAGATCCTCCAAGAAGACTTGTGTGCGTTACGGTGTCCCCTGCAACTGGTCTGAAGAAACATGATTCTGAAATGGCTTCTGTTCTGTCCAAACTCTATAATAAATGCCTTACTTCTTTTTGTTTCACAGTTTGTTGGAAATCCTCTTCAGTAGTTCTTGTCTTTTAGAACTTTCTGATCCCATGAATTATTAGCCTATTAGTCTTTTACATCTTTTGGACAAAATACTAGAATCTCCAAATTCGTTAAGAATCTCACTTCATACGATCTTATTTCGGATAAACAATATGGCTTTCGTTAGTCTAGATCAACCATTCATGTATTAGCGAATACTACTAAACTTATCTATCAGGCTTTATATAAAAATAGCGAGGCTCGGGCTGTGGCTTTAGATATCTCGATGGAAGGCGTTTGACGGGGTTTGCTGGCCTTCTTCACAAGTGATATGGTGTCTCTGGCCTAATATTTGATAATCCAATCGTCCTTAACAAATTGTGTAATGAAAATCGTGTTGAACGGCCACACTCCTAGATCCTTTCACATTAATGGGGATAACCCCCCACCAGGACTTTATTTTCGGGCACCTACTTCGTTTCATTTCTTATCTTCATCAAAGACCTACCCGATGTCATCAGTTTCCAGGTACAACTATCTACTTCTGTCTCCGCAGCAAGTCCGAGAGGTTCGACAAAATAAAACTCGGAGCTGCTCTCGAAAATGGCCTCTAATCAGTTGTTAAATGGGACAAGAAATATCTTGCAAATTTTAACACCTCCAGAAAGAATCTGCTATCTTTAAAACATTATAGAGAACTATATTTGCCTGCCAATGGCTGATGCTAGCCCCCAGTAGAGAAACACTTCGCGCCTTCTTGGTTTTAGGTTTTAGGTTTTATGTTTGCTACTGACACAAAGTAGAATTATTATATTGAATCAATTGCTACATCTGTTGCTCGGAAAATGGTTTAGTTTGCCGGGCCTGAAATTTTTTCTCGTTAGAATCCATCCTGCACAGTTATAAATCTACCATTCGTCCGTGCATTGAATACTGTTGCCATATCTGGTCTGGTAGTTCTGCTGTATATTTCGATTCAGGGTTGGTGGAACAAAGGAATGTAAATAGCAATAGACTAGCGAGGGTCCTGCGATGTTTTATCTGTAGGATAGGGGTTGCAAAGAAGGTGTAATATGTCGTAAGGTTTCTTATCGGTAGTTACGTCAACGACTCATGGTCGCCTTGGGTCGAATCGTTATATTCTGTTTGTCAAAGTTAGATGTTCGACGATTAGAATTATCACCAGATTTTATGTCAACATTAATTACAATTAAAGATTTATGTCATTAAATGTCAAAAGTTATTTTCTTTCATTAACATTATTTCTATATTACTTTTAGATATTTTCAGAATATATCATATCTGTTTTATTTTAAAACGTATTTGCTTAAAAGTTATTCTACACTATAAACTTTCATTTAACTACCACAGATAACCTTTTTTCTGTCTACCATCAATGTGACTGATGCTAAACTTCAGACGAATAAAGCTTTGCGCCTCCTTGGGCTCACGTTTTCCACTGATATGAAGTGGGGTGATTATATTGAATCAATTGCTAGTCCTGCTGCTAGGAAACTTAGTTCACTGAGTCGTACTAGAGAATCTTTGACGTTAGAATCCATATTGCACATTTATAAATCCACCATTCGTCCACGCAAGGAATAATTCTGCCATAACTCCTCTACTGCTCCTGCTGTACATCACGAGATTTTTGACAAAATCCAAAGAATGATCTGTACTGTAATCAATCCTGACATCATTAACTTTCTCTCCAATGTGTCGTATTCGTATCTTTTCTATAAATACTTTCATGGCAACTGTCTTGATGATCTTTTTTCCTTACTTCACCATCTGCATGAATGTAAGCGTGCTACTAGATTGACAACTAGATCTCACCGTTTTATTGTTGAACTAACTAGATGCCACTAGATTCACAAGGCCTGGGAGACAATCGAGATAGAGGGCTACAGATTAAGAGACACACTTTATGCGGATATGTGGGAAGATAATGGTTAGCCCTTGAATAACTTAATATTGTAGTGTTACACCCGGGGTTTCGTTGGGACTACGATAGCCGGGACGCAAAGAGAAAATAAAAAAATAAATAAATAAGAGATCCCAAGGTTCGATATAAAAATAAAGAAAAGAACGTTAGGAGGGGAATTCTCCAATTCCGGACGTCGGTAAACGCAGAGAGAAAATGAACAATACGCAGACACAGAACAACAGAAGACAACACGAGAATATATAATACAAAGATTTTATTTATAGAATACACGAAGTGTGAATGTAAGAAAAAGAAAAAGAAAACTAAATAATACAAGGGATGGGGAGATAAGTTACCAATTAAACAGATACTAATGCGGCGAAATACATATGAATACGGAGATAGCAGATTATAAGATATGGAAAAACATACAGAAACTTACATATGGTTGGGATCGACGTCGATTGACTATTATCGGCGTACAGTTTGTTCAAAAGGATATTCATATACTTCTCTGAAAGCAAAGGGTGGGATTGACAATGTTCTAATATGAATTTTTGACTGGCGACGTCCAATTCGGGTTGATGGCGAGGAGAACACAGAAAAATCACGGGAGTGTAGCCGACTTGGGTTGTCGATGTTGTTTTAGATTCCCGCGTCGGTCCTTTGGTTTTTGGTGGCATCTAATTCTTCTGGCATCAAACAACGAAGTCTGGTTCTGGTGACAGCTGCTTCTTCTAATGGCAAATAGCTAAGACTGGTTTTTGGTGACGTCCGACTCCTCCGATAGCCAGCAACTATGTGAGATCGCTGTTACCTCAACACGTGCGAAACGAAAACTGCTATATGTTGAGCCACGTGTTGCCCCCCCGCCCCCCAAAAAGGTATGCGTCATTCACCGGCCCTATTCATGTCATCCGTACTTATCTGTCAAACAGCGTTCGTTTTGGCCAGTGATTATGGAACTGGCTAACATCATTCGTACCTATCTGTCAAACAGCGTTTGTTTGGCCTGCGCATCAGGGACCAGGTAGGAAATGGGGGTAGAAGGGAAGGTTCTTTTCCGAGAACTGGCCCTGACTCATCTGGTTATAAAAACAATATATATCACACAATCTGCATATTCAAGAAATAAAGAAGTTATTAAGATTCATATGTTTCGTCGCAAATACAAAAGGTACTGAAAATATACTTATAAAATCTGAGGTGAGGGTACAAATATGGGGTTAACGTAACATCCCCTCACCAAAAAATGAAAAAGGATCGCTTGAGATTCTTTTTCAACACAACAGGAAATGGGATTTATTTAAAAAAATAAAAGATTTGCTCTCCTCTGTTCCCCTTTTATATATATATATATATATATATATATATATATATATATATATATATATCAAGGGTATATTCTTTATTATGGTAGCAGAGTGATAAAGCGTCTGCATGACTAGAGGCATAGAGGGGTCCATCTACGGCTAGGATGGGGCTTGGTTTCCCTCTCTCGTAATATGGTTTGATATGGCACATTTGTGTTTCTTTCCTTCGGTCTGGAGTGTTCACAATGTAGTTGAGGTTGCTAACCTTCCAGGAAATTTCGTCAGGACCGTGAAAGCCAGCCTTCAGGGGTAACCAGACAAGGGTAACAGCACCAGTATTTTGTCTCCGACATCGAAACTTCTTCGAGTAGTGTTTCGATCGTACTGTCTCTCCCTCTTGTTCTGGGCTCCCCGAAGCACTTTCTCTCTGTATCTCCTTGGTAATACCAACTGGCGTACACTTGACCA